TGTATGTATGTGTGTATGTATGTATGTATGTATGTATGTATGTATGTATGTATGTATGTATATAATGGATCTTAGGGCACTAAGTGAGTGTCCTCAAGTAATGATAGGAAAATAGATGAAGAATATACGTGTAAGAACAAGTAGCAAAGCATGTACATATATACATATCATGTATAAGGTAAACACAAGATACATGTAGCAAAGCATGTATGTATACAAAGAGTATGTAAGATTAGATGATAAGGACCTTTGCTAAATACATGAGATAGAAGAAAGAGTTAAAAGATGACTATATACAGTATAATCATAAGGATAAGAATGCATCTCTATATATTAATGGTATTGTGTAGAATATTTATATGTTATTATACATAGATAAGGATTAAGTACTTAATGATTTAAGTACTAGAAGAGAAAGATTAAAAGATCTTTAATGAGAAAAGAAATAGATTGTGCATGGGACATGTGTTATGTGATGATTCATATAATAAAGGTGGAGATAAAGAGATAAAGGTTCCTTCGGGGAAAAAAGATAGAGGTTCCTTTAGGGACAAAAGACAGAGGTTCCTTTCGAGACAAGATATAGAGATTCTTTCAGGAATAAGAGTATGGTTCCTTCTGGAACAAGAGTTAAGGTTCCTTCAGGAACAATTGCATGGTTCCTACATGAACAAGAGTATGGTTCCTACGGGAACAAGAGTATGTTCCCCACCGGAATAAGAGTATGGTTCCTTCAGGATCAAGAGTATGGTTCCTATGGGGACAGGAGTATGGTTCCTTTGGGAGTAAGAGTATGATTCCTTTGGGAATATATCCCTAACGAGAAAGAGATGATGATTGCCTTTAGGAATAAAGATAGATGATTCTTGCTAGAATCTAAATTGAGTATGATTAAAGGAGTTAGAGAAAGGTTCCTTGAGAGGAAAAAGATAAGAGAGTTCTCTATAAGAACTTCGAGTAAGGAATTTATGAAGGATCCAGTAGGGATCAGAAGAGAGAGGAGTAATAATGTGTGAGTGTACCCAGTAATGAAAGTGGGATGTTTATCCCTTAGAGTAGGCTATGAGATGTGAACATTTAGTCTAGATGAGAATAAGGTGTTGAGACACTTAAGATGAGAAAGGGTAGAGTGTGGAAAGAACATAGAAGAGATGGAGATAGAGACAGAGTTAGAGTATGTATAGAGTATCAGAAGAGCCTGTTAAGAGGCTACGAGGACCGATAAAGACAAAGTAAGAGTTAGAGTATAAGAAGATCTTGTTAAGAGGATAAGAGGAGTGTATAGGAAACAGAGTAAACGACTGTGAAAGAGTGGAATGAGAAGAATAATATTTTATGCTAATAGAGAATGAGATCGGATGATAGAGTATGAGACAGATAAGAACGATGAAAGGAAAAAAAGATAGAAGGGTAACTCACCAGACACGTTGTGTCTTACAATGCATAGATTTTATCTTTTGTAGGTTCAGGTTGTAGCAGTCATGGTACCAAAAGAAAAGACAAGAGCATAAGAAAGATTTAGATAATAGGTTAATATTATGTATTTTCCTTGTTGTTCCAATTTTTAAGTAAGAATTTATTGTAAACCCTTGATTTGTCCTGGGAAGTAAAGATTTTAATTAGAGTAGAATTCTGAAAATGTAGATAAAACTCTGATAATTCTCATAGTTTAGATGTTAGAGAATCCAAGTTGTTACAGTTGGTATAAGAGTCATAGTTTAAGTGAATTAGGTTTGGATGTATCCATTCCTAGTCTTAAACTATGGAAGATAGATGAGAAACAGAGATTATGAGTTGGTTTTGGGATAAAGTGTGCTAGATGATTATGGTATACGGATGAATACATGTGAAGATAAAGAACCTGGGTAGTTAAAAATTAGTATATTTACCAGCATTGAAGGTTTGGGTCCAGAATGTTAGAAAAGAAAGAAAGAAATGTTATTTTACGAAATGATAAGAATGGGTTTTCTAGTTAAAGAGATGCCAATAGTATGTATAAAGAATGTATGTGGTATCATGAAAGAAAAATGTGATAGAATTGGTGTGTCCTAGTAGATAGGCACAAGATAAAGTATGTGTCCCAAAGAGAAGAGTTAGTCGAGATTTAGAAAGAAATGGGATGGAAAAAGGAATAGAAAAAGATAAAGATATAAATGGGGATAGAAATTTGTAAGAGGGTTAGTATACCTAAAGAAAGAAACGAAATATAGAGAGAGTCTATCTTGTAAAGAGTAAGAGATTAAATAAGAGTACTTATGAGTAGTATAGTAGATTTGGCATTGCTTGTGAGAAAGTAGCCATGCATAAAAGAGAAAGTCGATTGCTATATGGAAAGTGTATGAGATGTGTAAAGTAGAACTTGCACCGTGTTGTTAGATGCTATAAAGATATCACTAACTAGAGATAGATTAAAATAGAAAGAAGATATATATGCAAATAAAGAGAAAGTGGTGTGACAAGTGTCATGACGGAAACATAAGAGAAAGAGAAAGATGGTAGAAATGATCCCTTGTAGTTGTGTTAAGATCTAAGGAACATGAGAAAATAGTTTAGTACTTATGAGGAAGTAAAATATGTAGGTTATGTAGAGTAAGTTGACACTTTGATAGTATGCCTACAATAAATAAAGATGAGGAGGTGCAGGTCCTAGTGTGAGAAAAGATGGACTTGTGAAAGTATGTAGATTTATGTTTATGTTATAGCAGTGTAGTTATGAGTAATTGTTATAGAAAAAAGAAATACAGACCTTATGTGTAATAAGGGATAGTTATAAAGAGAGTAAGAAGTTACACATAAAAGTGGAAAGATAGTGGATTCATAAGAAGAGTCTAAAACTGGAAGTAAAAAACTAATAAGAGAATGAGATGGATAAGTTTCATCTAGAGATGAAAAGTTAGAAACATTAAGTGTGTGTAACTTCCCAATGTAAGAAAATAGTAAGTATGTGAAATACATCATTTAGATGTATCAAGTATAGAGCACGAAAGAAGAAGATAGAAAGTCATAACAGTTGGCTTGCGAGCAGCTGAGGACTAAAGAATATAAGTACCTAAGAATTTTCATGATTGAAAATTGGGTTATGAGAAAAGAGACAGAAAAGTTGTGAATCAATTGATGAAATGGTAAAGTTGAAACAGGATAAGTATGATTTGCATACAATGTATGGGTGTTGCAGACACATGGTACTTATTGTTACTTATTGTTGTTTAAGAGACCAAAACATATTATAACTTTTTACTTACATCATGTTTGGTCAAAGTAGCTTGTGTTTATATATATATATATATATATATATATATATATATATATATATATATATATATATATATATATATATATATATATTCGTCAAAAATAACTCCAAGTGTTTGTCATGTGTAAAATGACAAAATATAAAAGGTAAAAGATTTTTTTATCTAAATAAAAGCTTTAAATTGGTATTACAAAATAAAGTTTTTCATTTTATTTTAGGGTAAATGAAACAAATGTTCTACGAACTTTCTAGGGATGGTCCTTTTAGTCATTAAGTTATTTTTGTGGCTTTATGAGGGAACCAATTCGTGGACAACCTGCCTTTTTAGTCTTATTTACTTGTTTTAGCTGATTTGAGTGACACATAGACAAAATTTAGGACCCATCTCTCTTCTGTTCATCATCTTCTTCCGTGTAAGATAATAACTGATTTTAATGAAAAAGATTAAAACCCTTTGATTGTAACGTTAAGTTAAACCAACTCCATTTTCTTCTTCATACTTCTGTCACACCTTTTTTTGAAAACCCACCGCCGATTTTAAAAAAAAAAATCAAAAATCAACCACCGTAAAAGGAGTGTAATTTTTGTTGATTTTTTGTGATTATAACTAATTTTAGTCCTCAAATTCAATACCAAAACATGGCAGCAGTGGAGGTGGATCAAGAACAGAATCACAATGTAGAAGATGATCATTTCCTTTGATTTGTTGATTACTTGATATCTATATTATCCCCGACGGATGACAAAGATGTAGCTGATGAAGAATCTAGTAGACTTGTTTGGAGCTGCGTTGTTGGTCGGATTATCAAAACATGTAAAGCTTAATCAAGCGGAGTCACACCTGCTATTCTCCTCTCGGAACTATCGTAGGTTCTCTGGAACAAATTTGTGGTGTTTTGGTTTTTAGCTAGATTATGGATATGTTTTCGGTTCACATTATTGAAGAAACTACAAATGTGAGCCATCGCTGTCAACCGAAAGAAAAGCACATTTCTTTGACAAAAAAAACCACTATTGTGTAAAATTAGGGGTGTTTGGATGTGCATTTCCAAGGTTTTGAAACTAATCATCATACTCTGCCAATCAATCAACAAAATGCTTTTGGGCAGTTTAAAGTTAAAGAGGCTTTCAAATAAAGGTTTGTTTTCTTCCTTGTTTCATTGCATGGGTTTGTTTCACATGTAGTTGTGATTCAATATTTTTTTTTTTTGTGTGTGTGTGTGTGGTGGGGGGGGGAGAGAGAGAGAGAGAGAGCAAACAAGGGAAAAAGGTGGAGATGAAAATGAATAGCAGTGGGTTTTTGTGGGTTAAAAAAAAAACTGGTCAAACAAATGTATATGCAGCAAAAAGATAAATGGGATTAAATGGACTACCCTAGAAAGTTCATAGGGTATTTGTATCATTTTCCTTTTATTTTATTTGTAAAAGCAAAAAAAAAAAAAAAAAAAAAAGTAAAAATTCCCAAACATACAAGTTGTAATAAAGTTCTTGACATGAACAAATGTCTTAGCTTTTCATTATAACATAATATCTAAATATTATATGTTATAAATAGGTGTACCAACCGTACGTCAATTAACATGTGCCGAGAGTTTAACATGTCAGGTTCGCTTCTCCTAAAAGAATGATGATATGTTTCTATAAAACAAATGACATATTTCACTGGTATCGTTTTTTATTGATGATAAGATTTTGTTTGCAAACAAGATGAAGTTGAAATTAAATAAATGCAAGAAATAACAGTATACTTCAGTTGTACCTATTTGAAATAGCAAGAAATGAAAATAGGATGACAAAAAATAAAATAGATTGTTATTTCTTGCATTTACTTCTAGACTTTTAAGATATAATAATAAACCCACAAGCTAAAAGTGAAACAAAAAAGATTATAATGAAGCATATCCTGCAAGAAGAAGGAATCCAGAACCTATGTTTCACACATGCCACTAACACAATTTTTAAAAAAAGAATAGCAGATAAGTTGAAAATTACAAAATAACCCCTCACACTTAGTTTTTCCATCCACTTTAAGACCCACAGCAAGCCGACTTCTGTGCAGCTTCACCATTCCCACCACCCCCATCTGCTTGGTTTATCTTAATTGTCGTTGGCTGCAAATACGACAAAAAAAAAAACATTTATATAATTATTTTTTTAAAAAAAAAAAAAAAAAAAGTAGATTTTGCTATTTCATGGATTTACCTCAGCCTTGGTATCAGTGTCTGAAAGCCTTTGCTTGATATCCTTCGCAATCGAAAAGAAAACTTGCTCCACATTTAGATTAGTTTTTGCACTCTGTATAAAACACACAATTGTTACTATAAATATAAATTAATAACAATAACAAATTGTTTTTATTCATATTAAAGAATAATCAATTTGGTTTACTTACGGTTTCAAAGAATTTAATGCCATATTCATCTGCAAGTGCTTGGCCTTTTGCGGTAGGCACAGCCTAAAAAGATAAGAAAATTAATGTATCACAAGTTTTCCACTTTTTTTTTTTATTTCGTAAGTAAAGAATAATAAATAGTAAAAAGTCAAAAATACCCTTTTGCTTTCATCCATATCGGCCTTGTTTCCAACCAAGATCTTGTTCACATTGTCGGAGGCGTGTTGTTCGATGTTGCGAATCCAGTTTCTTATGTCTGCCATGATAAATGAGGGCAAATTTGTAAAAAGTTACGACTTTCAAAAAAAAACATTTCTCTTGATGTCTATGTTAAGTTGATTCTTTCTGTATTAAGTCAAAAAGAAAACCTTACTATTGAAAGATGACTCATCAGTGACATCATACACCAACAAAATGCCCATGGCTCCTCTGTAGTAAGCTGAAATTTTATACAACAAAATTAAATATTAAAAAGTAATATAACAAGTTAAGTTAGCATAATTAATTAATAAATAAATAAATGAGAGAAAATATAATACCAGTTGTGATTGTTCGGAATCGTTCTTGACCAGCTGTGTCCCAAATTTGGAGTTTGATACGTTTGCCATCAAGTTCAATGGTTCTTATCTTAAAGTCAATACTGTAATTCAAAATTATTTTGTAATTATTAATTGTAAAAAAAAAAAAAAAATTTAATAAAGAAATTAATAGATAAACTTGAACTCACCCAATGGTAGTGATAAAACTAGTAGTGAAAGAACCATCAGAAAAACGCAAAAGAAGGCAACTCTTCCCCACACCTGCAAAGAAAGTAAAATAATATTTTAGGTCAATGATTACAAAAAAGTATGAAGTTTATAATAATATTTTATACTTAAATAAGATAAATATACATATTCTTATACTAACAACCAAAAAGTAACAGGTTCGGAAGGTGGAAGATGAGGGTGAAGGTTTTTTGTCAATTTACTAAAGATGCAAATTTGCGAATAAATAATGAAATAGTAAAGATTGTATCTAGAATATTAACTCTTTAATGATTTTACTTAAAAAGGAAAAAACTGCAGATGTTTTATCATTCCTTCTAGGGTTCTTGTTCTTCATACCATATTTATCTAGTGTTCTTTTCTAGTGTTGATGCTAAGCTCACATGGAGTTAGGGATATATAAGTTTGAAGCAAAAAATGCAATAAAGATTTGAGATTCACCATTTTCACATGACCACATATAATATAATCTATACTATGCTGCATGAACTTGTATTTTAACTTAAACCTAGTAACGTGGAACAAAATGACATTTACTATGAAACTCTTTGGTGCTAAAAACATATAATGTTGCATTGTAATCCTTGGAGATCGGGAGTTCAAATTTCCTAAATATATGGAGACTACAATGACCTTTTTCTAGTAGATTCTCCTAATGTGATATTGTATCTATCGAACTTCACCATTTCTAGTAGATTCACCATTTTCAATGAACTATAGGACTTCACATCAATGTATGAAAACAATGATAGTATTAGTTTCCATATCTTCTATTTCTCTCCATTTCTGATAGAGTATCTAGTAATGCCCAAAAATTACGTTCCATATTCATGGAAATCATATGAAAAGAAGGGACAGTTTTTAACATCACATGCTCTTTCTTTCCCCCTCTCTATGGATAAACGAAAAGACCAACAAGATATGAATGTTCTTAATGCTCTCTCACAACACGCTTAACATCTTTGCTTCCTATTAACATCCCTAATCACTATCATTCACTGAAGTATCAGTCTGGTTTAAAGATTGAGAATAGACTTGCTAACACACAAGAAACACTTTTATGTTGCATAAAGGCTTCATGAAACAGTAAACTAATCGTCCAATTGTCTTCATGGAAACAGTACAATCGGCACTCCATGTATAACAAAACCAGACACCGGATTCATGATTAAATGCTCCAGATTAACCTAGATCCGTACAGGAACGACCTTCAAATTCCCTAATACTATTGATTTTCAGCTTCTAGACACTGACAACTAGTGTTGACGATCCTCAAACAGCTACTAATTAATCAATTTCAATATCCTACATAGACGATCTATTGTTACGAAGCATAGTAAAAACGTACCGCTATCGCCGATCAAAAGGAGCTTAATGAGGTAATCATAATCTGCCCGTGCCCTTGCCGGTGGAGCGGCCATTGAAGAGTCGGAAGAGAGTCGAAGAAAAAGCCCTAAAAATAGCGTATATATAAATATATACACACACTTATACCTGCATACCAATCAAATTAAAAAGTCACCGATCAGAATCAAAAACTAAACAAGTGATTTTAAACTAATTACTCCATTAATCGAACACAAACCAGATCAGAAACAAGCAATAGATCGGCCATGGAAGATCAAGATCGAGAGAGAGAGAGAGAGAGAGAGAGAGAGATTATTACCAGATACAAAAGGAATATTTCAGTTTACACCCCCTGCGATGATGGTGGGCTAAGATGCGCCACTTCCTCCTTCTTCTCTATTTTTTAGGTGCTTCTATTGTGTGTTAATGGTGCGCTTGTCACCTCCCGGCGCAATCTAGCAAAGGTGGGGAAAGAGAGGAGCGAATGAACGAATGAATGTTGACGCGCACAAAGATCAACCTGTAGACAGTTGTCGGTTTCTAAAGGAAAAGAAGTGGCTGACCATGGTAACAACGGTGTGCCAGCGACGTAGGCAACTAAACTTCTGTCGCTGACCTGGTAATAGTTGATTGATCAGATATTTATTTTTATTTGACACCAACCTATCCAAACTAATAATATGAACACCAAACTCCACTTTTTTACTTGAAATAGCATCATTTTTTAGTATGTCCACCATAATTTATTTCCTTATTTTTATGTAAATTATTAATTTTCATAATTGAATTAACATAATTTACCTTTTAAAAGTAACATTGTTTCAAGATAATTAACTATTCAACAAATGTGTTAAGTAGTTTTATTCTAATTTTATAATGTTAATTCTATAAGTGAATAGACAATGTAGTACGTAGTCTATAATAAACTTTCTTATATTTAATATGTCTATATTTGTGAATTTTTAAAACCTGGTTCACTTAGATCTTGATGTTTCCTAGTAATCATTAACAATCTTTTCTAGATCACATTCATTGTATTGGTTTTTTGGGTGGTTTAAGCGGGTCTTTTTATTTGGACATAATGAGGATGATCTTTTTAACCAATTAATGTTGGCAAAACGATATCAAGATCTGATGCTTAAAGATTATAATGGGTGAAGAAAAATGGTCTATGTTATATTATTTTTCAGAATCAAACAAAAAAAAAACTTCTAAACTCCAATCTATATTTGAAGATCTAATTTCAGCTTTCATAATTGTTTCGTTACATTTTCACTATAATGAGTGATTTGATCCATAATGATCATTTAGAATCCTTTATGAATCAACAGTATATCAACAATTATATTAATAGCATAGACAACAAAATTTTGAAAATTGCATTGTTATTTATTTTCAAATTATAATACGTGTAGCCTTCGGTTAGCAAACTTATTCTTATTTATTTTCAAATTATAAGATTTGTAGTCTTCGGTGAGCAAACATAATTTTATTTATTTTCAAACTAGCAAACGTTAGAATATATTTTTTATGTAACTAACCCAATAATTAGGTATCGTAATTGCTAACTTTGCTGTTTTAATATATTGAACTTAATATTAAAATCACAATAGAAAGAACTTATAATGGTATATTTAATTTACACAAAATTCAACTTTTTTATTATAGTTATTTAAGAACTTATATACGGTAGTCGAAATAAATGAGGATAAACTATAAATATGATAACCAACATAATTTAAAATAACAAACTAGCAATTTAAAATGTCAAATAATGTTTCTCTATATTTGGATTCCTCTAAAAACTTTATCTATAAATGAAATAGACACTAGAGTTGGTTCTTTTCATAATATATTCTCCATTCATTTATCATTATAAGGTACATTGGTTCGCTTTATGTGGCGAAAGTTTATTTACTAAATCAATCATGCCTTTAATATATATAAAACCAATAATTGGAATGAATTTTCTTTCTTTTCAATGTTTTGTGGTACAACTGTTTAGATGCGATTGCAAGAACAGGGATGAATATACTAAAGCCCTTACCAGCGAATCAAGGCCCACAAGTTTCCTAATTATACTGACACGTGGCAGTAACGTCAATGATCAAATGGTTGGTGAATGAATAGCAAATGTGTCCGATTACATCCTTCAAGTTTGTAAATCGAATTAGGCTGCAGGGGTATTAGGCTAATCAGTCTTTTCGTATTAATTTATTGTTATTATATGTTTACTTTTACTCTCCATATGGGAGTTTGGATTAACTTATTAGATTATTGTTTATAACTTATTTATGGTGGGAATAAGCAATAAGTAATAACAATGGAGAGAGATGCTTATTAAAATTAGTTTATTTAGCTTAATAAGTTGGATTTTATCCGAACACTTAAAGTTATTATTTTGTGGGAATAAATAATAAACATCTCTTTTTTTCCTATCCAAAAACCTCATTTGTCATTTTAACTACGAAATGGTCACCGCTGCCAAAATAATTTTCATATCATTTTTTTTTTAGTTTTAATTGTTTTATTTCATTTTTTATTTTATTTTTTTGATAATTTTATAAAAAAAACAGTTTTATAAATCATAACATGAAAATAAACTACATAATCTTTTTTTTCTTCTAAATACACTACTCGTCACCGTCATATATATTCAAGTCTGTCGAAATTGTTTATGTTTTTGTGTGACATGAATATCAACGACTCCATGCAAATACCCATCATTCCATTTATCACAAATCAAACAGTCTTTATTTGTTTCAAGTTGAAACAGCCTCAAGAACCTCTCTTTTAGGCGTAAGTGACATATCCAGACATCACTCCAAAATTTAGTAGACCTTCAATTTCCAAAGCTTTTTCTCATACAAAAATGAAGAACCAAGCCCCTTTCATGCATAACATTCATAGATTTCACAATTTTGGGTCGTATACCATGCGTATGTATCCGGGGGTTAAAAATTCGACCCCCCCCCCCTTTTCCAACATCACCATAAATCGCAACTATGAGATTCACCCATAAGGCATTTTGTTCATGTACAAACCTCCGTATCCACTTTTCAAGAAGGGAAAAATTAAAGGCTTCAAGACTGTCGATACCTAAACCTCCTTTAGATTTTGAAGCAAGAACTGAATTCCAAGCAATCCATGGAATTTTTCTACCAGTGTAATCACTACCCCAAAACAAATTGGATTGGGGATATTCAAGTTTCTTTTTAATTTGAATTGGCATCAGGAATAAGGACAAGTATAAATACCGAGAGATCGACCACCAATGGAGAACATGTTTGTTTTCTATCTAGATAACATGTTATTGAATTTAGCAATAATAGAGTTCCAACTTTTCAGGCTATACATACAACAACCAACAAGAAGACCAATGTAAGAAATAGGGAGTTGATCTGCTCGACATCCTGTAAAACTGGCAAAGCTACGAACTTTTTCACAATCTACCCTCGCACCATATAAATTAGACTTATGCAGATTAATCTTTAACCTAGAAATACATTAGAAGCTGTGTAATGATTGCACAAGAGCTCTAATCTTATCTCGACTCTAATCACCGAGGAATAAAACATCATCTGCATATAGAAGATAAGAGACTTGCAAAGAGTCAACCAAAGCACCATGAAAATAATCAGCTATCATTGCATCCTCTACCACTATATGAAGGGCCTTTATAAATAGAACACAAAGAAAGGGGGAAAGAGGGTCGTCATGGAGGAGCCCTCTCTTAAGCACAAATTACGCAGAAGGACTCACGTTAACTAAGACTGAAGTCGTAGTCAAATTTAAACGGCCATTAATCCACCATCTCCACTTATCTCTAAACCCCAAGAAATTACATAACACGCTCTAAAAAATCCAAGAAACTGAATCAAAGGCCTTTTCAAAATCCACTTTGAAAACATAAGTATTTTATTCTTCTTTTTGTACCGATCCAACATTTCATTAACTATGAGGGGACCATCTAAAATTTGGCGACCCTTGATAAACATCATTTGTTCGCAACTAACAACAAAATCAATAACACAAGAAAGGCAATTGACTTGGCTAGCACTTTGGCAACGATTTTTGTACCGTGCTCCGATAAGACTGATTAGAAAGAAGTTATAAAGTAGTCGAAACAAATAAGGATATAAAATATAAATATGATAAATAACCTAATTTAAAATAATAAACTAACAATTTATAATGCCAAATAATGTTTCTCTATATTTGGATTCCTCTAAAAACTTTATCTATATATGAAATAAACACTAGATTTGGTTCTTTTCATAATACATTCTTAATTATTTATTATCATACGGTATAATTAGGTTTGCTTTATGTGGCGAAAGTTTATTTAGTAAATCATTCACGTCTTTAATATATATAAACCAATAACTTGATTGGTTTTTCTTTATTTCAATGTTTTTTGTACAATTGCAACTGTTTAGATGCAATTTCAAGAACAAATAGAGAGATACTAAAGTCGTTTCCAGCAAATTAAAGCCCACATTGTTTCTTAAGGCTAGAAATGGGTGGATGATTCTTAGGCATAAAAGAGATGTCATATCAGCCAATATCAACTCGATTAGGTTTTCACCAGCCTTAGAAAATGATGTTTCATTAGTAAGTTTTTAGTCAGTGGGGTGAAAAAAAAGAGATAAAGAGAGGGAGGAATGAAAGAAATTGTGAGCAAATGTAACCTCACTCACGCATGGTCACAAGATAAATAGAGAGAGGGATGGTGTTCTCCCCAACCCACTAATACTAGTGCTCTTGTTCTCATTATTGGCAAAGGCAAAGGGAAGAAGAGAAAGGCTGCTCTTAAAGCTAACAGGAAGAACAAGGCCCAAGCTAGGTCTTCTAGCAATGGGCCAAAGGCGAATCCCAATTCATACATTCTAGTTGTTAATGACCCTAAAGAGGCCACTTGTTACTATTGAAATGACAAGGGCCATTGGAAGAGGAGTTGCCCCAAATACTTGCAAGACATCAAGGATGACAAGGTGAAGCCATCGTCGGCATGTATATACTTTATCCAAACTAATAACTCACCATATACTCATTCTTGGATCCTTGATACAGGATGTGGTTTTCAAATTTGTTCTAATTTACAGGCGCTAAGAGAAAGTAAAGAGGTGGAGCATGGGAAGACGAATTTCTTATTACCAAGATTGGGACTTATCATATCATGATTAGTAGTAATGTTAGGGTTAGTTTGATTAATTGTTTTTATTCGTCAGAAATGACACAAAACATTATTTCATTTCATGCATTATTTAGGTAAGGTTTTTGCTACGCTTTTAATGATTTGAATAGTTCAATTTTAGTTTATAAAAATGGTGTTTTTATATTCAAAGCTTTACCTTGTAATGGTGTGTTTGAAATTGTGACTTGTGTTGATAGCTTAGGAAATAGTGTATTTCATATTGATTTCTCTAATGGTCTAGACAAGGCATGCTTGTGGCATTGTTGTCTTGGGCACATTAAAAAGAAACACATTGCCCAACTCCAAAAGGATGGAGTGTTGGAATCATTTGAACTTAGGCCAGATGATGAATGTGAATCTTGTATTTTGGGAAAGATGACAAAATCACCTTTTTATTGGATCTTGTGAAAGAGGTGAAGGTTTGTTGGACCTCATATACATAGATGTGTGTAGGCCCTTCAAATCCACCACAAGAGATGCTAATCGATTTTATGTAACATTTATAAATTATTACAGTAGATATGGTTGTATTTACTTAATCAAGCATAAATCAGAAAACTTTGAAAAATTCAAAGAGTTTAAACATGAAGTCGAGAATCAATTAGACAGGAAGATAAAGATGCTCTAATATGATAGAGGAGGAGAGTATCTTAGTATCGAGTTCCACGACTACCTCAAGGAATGTGGAATAGTTTCCTAATTGACTCCTCTTAGGACACCACAACTTAATGGTGTGGCTGAGAGTCGCAATTGAACCTTATTGGACATGGCTTGTTCCATGATAAGTCAATCCACTCTTCCTATTTCCTTCTGGGGGTATACCTTAGAGACAGTTGCCCATATCCTCAATCTTGTCCCTACTAAGAAGGTTACCAAAACACCTCACAAGATGTGGACAAGGAAAGTTACCTCGTTAGCACATATCAAATTCTAGGGTTGTGAAGCTTTCGTTAGATGATAGACCCAGAACTAAGAGATGTATTTTCATTGGCTACCCATAAAAGTCTTTTGGATATTTGTTCTACTCGCTTAGTGAAAACGTGGTCTTTGTAGCACGAAGAGGAGTCTTTCGCGAGAGAGAGCTCATATGCAAAGAGGACAGTAGGAGCACAATTTGTTGTATTAGTGTCTAAGTCCATAACTATTTTGGTATGTACTTGACCCGATGGTGCATGGTCCTTTTGGGTTGCCTTTACCAAAGCAACTTGATAGGATGAATTATGGAGAGAAAGGATTAAATATGATTTATTAATATATTATGAGAATAATATATTAAAGGAGAAATCATATTGTTTAATTAATATTAGTCAATAATTAATTGGTAATTAGTTTTGTGACTAAAAGAGATTAATTAAACTTAAAGGACTGGAATTGTAATTATAAGATAATTGCAATTTGGGCCATGGATTGTCTTATATTAAGGAGTGGACAAATTCTATGGGGAAACCCATGAGAAATCGTCCAAGGCCTTAAGGAAAGGGGGTACATGGGTTGCTTAGGGCTTAAGCATCCAAATTAGGGTTTCCTTGTTAGATAACCCTAATAGCCTCACTATATATAGAACCCTTAAGGCTCAAAAACGTGGGGAACTTCTCTTCTAGGGTTAGAACACGTTTTGGGCAGCCTCCATCCTCTCTCCTCTTCATCCTCTTGCTTATGGTGTTTGTGAACCATTAGAGGAGTGACATTTGTGACTCTAAGCTTTCTAAAGTCAATACAAGGAGGAATTGAGATTGTTATTGCTACATAACAATCAAGGTATGATCTAAACCCTAATTATGTGTTGTATTGATTATAATATGTTAGATCTAGGGTTTATAGTCTTGGATAACTTGCATGTACAATAGAGAAACCTAGATCCAAGCATTAGGGTTTGTATGAGCACATAGGATGTCTTATGACCAAAACCCATCAGTGGTATCAGAGCCTAGATTGGTTTCTGTAACAACCCGTTATTTCAAGTCAGTAAAGATCGAGTCATGTAACCCCCTTGAGAAAGGAAATAGAATATGAAGTATTCAAAAACTCTATTTGGAGTACACTATGTGGTAGTTATCGTCTTAAGGTTTCCAAACATATAAATAACACAAAAATCCGAGTTATAACGAAGAAGTTATGCTCATTATAAGTTTTCCGACAAAAACCAACAATACAAAGTTGCGTAAAACGCAAAGTTTCAACAAAACACTTTCTGACCTTAGGTGTCTAAATGAAAGTCATAGATATCGTTAAACTACAAACATGCATAAAAAGAACGCTCAAATCGGACATCATATGAATAAGTTATGAATTTTTAAAGAAATTCCTTAAACACGTCACTTTAATAAATAAATAATAAAAATAATTTCGGAATTTGCCAACGGAATCTAAATGAAAGTTGTAGATCGTAGTCTCACCTTCGCGGGGATATAAAGAACGCCAAAAACGGAGTTCGTATGAGGGAGATATGAATTTTTGAAGTTTGATAATTAATTTATATATAATTTTTATTCAAAATTCGGTATTATCCGAAGAGGAGTCAGCCTAGGGCTATAGTACGCGCCGCGTACCCTAGTACGCCCCGCGTACTCAGAGGCCACGGCCTCGGATCGTCCACGTCGCCCCTATGCGAGCTATCCCTCTCCCGTCCCATCCGAGACGCTGCAGCCGAGGAAGCGGTCAGCAATGACGTCCCGTACGCGCCGCGTACGGGAGTACGCCCCGCGTACGCAAGCTGATCCGCCCCCCTATAAAAGGGATGCGAGGGCTCCCGAGAAAAGGGCTCATTCTCTCTCATTTCTCTTGCGTTTTTCCTCGTTTTCCGTGCTCGTACTACCCCGAAGCCCTGGTCGCTTCGTGCAAGATCCGAAGGTCGATTTTCTCCCGAGGAATCCCGAGATTTCCGTGGAAAATCCATTTCCCGAGACGAAACTCTGCCGTTTTTCCATCTCGCTATCTTCAAGTTGTCAAGTGAGTTCATACCCCTTTCTAACACACTTTAAATACATTTTTAAATACTTTTACACTCTTTTAGGGGGGGAATACAAGTAAACATA